CGGAAATTTTTAACATGAACTTGAGATTTTCTTGTTAAGAAGTTGAATAATTTTAACACATTCAACATTATGGGTAACAAAATACTGAGTTTTATACGGTGTTTTTTCGAGACTAAACATGAACAAGAAAAATTCATGGATTTGGACGAAAAAGAAAAGACTCCAGAATGTAAAAGTTGGTAAAAAAAAATTTACATCCTTTTATTAGTCAGTTTTACTTAGTTTAATTTTTAACGAATATAAATGTAGATAGAAAAAAGCAAATGTTGATAAAATAGCGAGGGTCACAAAACACTGCGGAGCCCCCAATTAGGCTTGGCCCTCCTCTCGATTGGGGGATTCGGCGGTAGTACGCACCGACCTTGTATATTTTTAACGAAGTTATGGATTATTTATTAATCCGACAGAATTTATTAATTATGTATATATATATATATATATATATATATATATATATATATATATATATATAAAGGCTCAAACACTAACATTCCATGGTTATAATTTATTACATTGGAATCGTAATACACGATACAATTCGTCAGTTTGAATGTCTAGGTCTGATGAATTGGATCGTGATGACGATTCAATGTAATAAATTATAACCATAGAATATTAGTGTTTGAGCCTTTATATTATATTCTTGCTCTGTCCTGGACATTGTGCTATACCTGAATTCTTATCTTGGAATTTTATGTACGTATATATATATATATATATATATATATATATATATATATATATATATATATATATATATATATATATATATAAAAACCTCAAACACTAATATTCCATGGGTATAATTTATTACATTGAAAACATCAGACCTACAAGTTCAAAATGATGAATTGGGTCGTGATTACGATTCCAATGTATTACTCTTGTGCATTGGTTTCGCTTCTAACTGGGCTCTCCATACTTGAGGCGTTGTACAAAATTAGGCTTCTCTAATTTAATGGCGATCAATAAAATAATCTAATTATATATCTGATCAAAATTTATTTGATGTCTGCGACTTTATTTACGGCAGGCACGCAAACTGAGTACCCACGTTACGTTGAAAGCCGAGATATCGAAAGAGGATGATGGTCACTACAGACAGTCCCTTCCCAGATAGAAGGAATGAAGCAATTCAACATTCTTCTTCTTTCGTGTGCCGAGTCCCTTCATGGCCTCTCATCTCCTCCTGTCCCTTGTAGCTCCTAAATTTTTTTCTCTTTTTGTCATTTCTCCCTGACTCTGTTCCGCCATCCACTTGCTCAAGCCCATTAAGTATGTCACGCGTTGTTTTCCCCTGTCACTCTTTCCCTTTATCCATCCTGTGAGTATCAGATTTTTCAAGTCATCTTTTCTCATTACGTGTCCCAGAAATTTCAGCTCTCTCTTCCTGATGTTTCCTCTTTGTTTTTATTCTCTCCAAAACCTCGTCGTTGCTAACATGTTCAGCCAATAGTGCCCTTAGCATCCTTCTGTAGGACCGCACTTCTATTGCTTCGAGTGTCTTCTTCACTTTTGAGGAGATTGTCCAGCATTCTTCGCCATACAGGAGGACGGATATCACGTACCAGTTTAGTACTCTTTTCTTTGTTTCCAACACAACTTTCTTGTCTAGTAATACAACCCTCAAATACATATGTATCCTAAAATCAGCTATAGCTTCGTGATATAAATATCTATGCTCCTATCTAACCAATCGTTGCACCTGTCAGACGTGACTCTTTTGTGATTATTGAATATTGAGATTATTGATTTTCATTATATTACATTTATCCTAATTTCTTTTCCACCTTTCAGGTATGCGCCCCGATTGCCTTGTTCTTCCTTGACAAAGACAAACAATTGATTCCAATTGCAATTCAGTTACAACAAAAGAAAGGACCAAATAATCCAGTGAGTTAGCCTCGCTCATTTATTTAAACGCACAAACATATATCTATCATAATTTTTTCATATAGACAAAAAAACATTTAACTATTTTGGTTCTCATCAGTCGAGGTGCAGATAAATGCACCGAAACGAGGTTGCATCTTTGTAGTGAGTAAATTGTTTTTGTCTATATGAAAAAATATAATAAATAATTATGGCTCTACTATCTCGGTATTGAGCTCTCTTTTGAATTAATGCTGTGAACGTTAGAATTTATATATTATTTTCGTTCTCATTATATTCGGATATCTATCTATCTATCTATCTATCAAAATAGAAGTTATCAAAATTGTCTTATATATATATATATATATATATATATATATATATATATATATATATATATATATAGAAGAAAACTTTAAGATCCATTTCGGTTATAATTTATTTCGTGAATATCTCAATATATTCATCTCTTTAAACCGAAAGATTTTAATAACTCGCCATTTATTAAAAGCTTTCAGTTTGAAGAGATGAATATATTGAAATATTCACGAAATAAATTATAACCGAAATGGATTGTTAAGGTCTTCTTGATTTATTATCATTATATTGCTCTGTAGTTTACATTGAGCTCTCTCTGGATGTATATCCTCCTTGGAATTATCCCTACCAGTCACAAATTGGCAATATATATATATATATATATATATATATATATATATATATATATATATATATGTGTGTGTGTGTGTGAAATGATTTTTTATCTGGCATTATTTCTTATTACTATAAACGTCATTTTTAGTGGATGCACGTGATTAAATTTTTCCCACTGTTTATTTTTCTTAAACGGTGAAATTAAGGGCAAGAGGCCTAATGAAAAATGGGATTAGTCTGCGTATTATCTTTTTAATCATTTGACCTCAAGCAAGGCAATAAAGCAACTAAGACACAAGGGGTTACTGAGTGTTAGAAATAAGAAAAAGAAAAACATTATTAAGGAGCGAGAACAATCAAAGAAGAGGAATCATGAAGACAGTAGATAATGATTGACATTGCATTTACATTTTTGAAAAGCAAAAAGGGTTGGAAAGCAAGAAGCCGGAAGAGAGTTCCACAAGTAAGAAGTGCAAGAGAAGAAACTGTCAATACAGAACTTACGGTTACACCTAGCCATTTCACTTGTGAAATAATGAGAACTTGGTGCCAATCTATTACTGCGCTTAAATTCATAAAGTCTAGGTACGAAAGAGGAAAAATCATCAGAACAATTGCCATGAAAATATTTATATAAAAGGCATAGGTAAACTGCATTACGTGGTGAGAAAGTGACTGAAGCCGGGATGCCAGGTCAGAACCAATACTATTGTAGATTCTTTGGATTTTATCAAAAATCCCTAAATATATAACAGGACCACCAGACCATATGTGGTAGCAATATTTGAAGAGCGGGCAAGTGGTAGACTCCTAAATATGTAAGGGCGAAAAATTGTCTAGTTCGACACAGTGAACCAAATTTCCTAGCAGCAGACCTTGCAATGGATTCAATATAATCTTTCCAGTTCATATCGGTAGAGAATGATAAACCAAGGTGGTTCAACGTGGTTCTATGTGCCATACTGATGGAAAGCAGAAAGCAGTCTCTTAGATGATTAAAAGAAAGCAGTTTGGTTTTGAAAGTGTTAAAATTATAAAAAAAAAGCCATTCCTTAACAGCTGATTTTTGCACACTTTTGAAGTTAGCTTCCAATGACTGAGAGGTGACCTCTCAGCGCTTGGGAATGTTTTAGAATCCAGATATCTTTTCGTTGTTCAGTGTATTGTCTTAAGTGCATTTTGTTAATTTCTTTTGCAGGTTTTCCTGCCGACAGATCCACCAGGTTTATGGACATTAGCCAAAATGTGGTACAATAACGCGGACGCAGCAATCCATCAGTCACTAACACATTTAGGTAAAGGAGAAATTGGTTCGATGACCAGTTTGAAAAAAAAGTGTTTCTTTAACCTTTTACCTCTAATTTTATTTGTCTGATAGTAAATTTAAAATCACAAGTACTTATCTCCGCCAACGAATTTAGTGGTTTTGTATTCACGCATGTTTGTCTGTTTAAACATTTCTTTGCCTGCATAGCATATCCAAAATTTATCAGTTAATTTCAGACATTTTGTGGAATTGTGGGTTATGGACCAAGAATCAATTGTTTTAATTTAGAGTGAATGCTGAATTTTCCTTTATTTTGTAACCAAGAATTAGAACAATTTTTTAAACATTAAAAACTATAAATTATCAAGATATAGCGTTTGAAAATGTTTCACTTTTACCGCCTGGAGCAGAATGCAAACTCATGTGAAAAATCACTTTGAGATCGGTACTCACATGTTGGCTAGGTTTCAGAGAAATGGGTGTTTTTATATCTCTCGACATTACCAAACAAAGCTAAAGAGTTTTTATATGCGTATAAGGAGAGTTGTTTAGGTTTCTATGGGATGGATGTTTTTATCGAGTTACCATCTCTAGATAAATTGCCAAGCAATGCTGAAGAGCTTCTATCTACCTGTGAGGTGACATGGCCAGGTTGCTGTGTGGTGGGAGTTTTTATGGGGTTACCATCACCGATAGATTGCTAAGCAACGCTAAAGGTCTTCTATCTGCCCATTAGGTGAATTAGCGATCTTGCTGGGAGATGGGTGTTTTAATCCAGTCGCCATCTTTAGATAGATTAACATCTAAGGCTGAAAAGCATCTATCTGCCCATCAATTGAGCATTCGTCACGACGTACATACACATTTATTGATTATTTCCGAGTCCAATTGCTTTCATTTCTCCAATTTTACTCAAAAGGCTTGGGTCAGCCCATGTTATGGTTTTCAGGTACTTTCCAACGTTGCCTCTCGTTGGGATAATCGACAATGGTAGAATTCGAACCTGTGTCTCATGGTAGGAGCGCTAATGCACTAACTTTTAAATAACACTCTCAATAATGCCTGTGTGAAAATGAAGTATAATTATCTCCCTTAATTACACAAGCTTTTATAAAACATAATCTAGGAGCTGTAACCTTAGTGTTCAATTTTTAGTGACTGTCGTGTTGACGGAGGTATGCACTCACGGAGTACTTTCTAGTTATGAATAGAACATAAATGACAAGTACAATATATATGATATTTAATACGTAACATTTGACTAGAACTTATTTTCATTTTTTAAAAGATTTAACTCAATTTTTTAAACTGTTTGAATTATCTGTCTTGTGTTGCGTCATGTTCAAATAGCTAGTTGTAACCGTATGTTCTATGCTATTTTTTCCTCTTTCGCACTTTTCGTTTGTTGAACTCTCTTCCGGCTCCCTGCTTTCCTCTCAACTACGATTTTGAAAAATTTTAAAGTAATGTCACATTGAATGTCATCTCTCTGAATGCTGTCTCTCTTCCCCTCTGTTTCATTCACTCTAAGTAACCCCTTGGATCCTTGTGGATTTATCGCCTTGTTTGGGGTGAAATGAATCTTGAAAAACATTCTTGGAATGCTTTGAAAAGGGTTAATGCAAAAGACGTTACTAAGTTGGTTTAGCAATAAATCGATTCGAAAAAAAATATGGCGTGAACACGACTGGTAGATAATATTTGTCTTGTAGCTTTTCTGTTGGAAAAAATTAAGAACACGACATAAGAAAAACGAATGTATTGCGAAACAAACACTAACTACCGCTCTACACCAATAATCGTTCTAGAATTCTTGTAGGTAATCAATAATCAATACCTGTTAGAATTTTTGGGTAGCCTGCACTAGTGAGCCAGTCAAAATGAACTGACTCATTTTATAGTTCACCCAGAGAAGGGTTAACCAATCAGAAAGCTCAAAATATTTAATCCGACGTGTATAAACGCAGTCATTTTGTTTTTCTCCCAAAATATCTTCACTGCCACCTGATATCGAAGACTTGAAGAATTACTTAACAGCCGCTACTTTCTCTGAATCTTCACTGCCAACCTCTGATATTGAAGACATTACGGATTTCATATTCAAAGACTACGGCAAACATAGTCAACAATACCTACTTAACAAAAATATGAATTTGATTTATCATCTTGTTAATTCATTGTTACTTTATTACGAGAATGTTTTCGGAGTTAATTTCCTCCTTTATACAATCATATTATCTTTAGATAAATTTTTAAATAAGAATTTTAATTTTAATTTTTCAGCCTTTACACACTTAATTATGGAGGGCGTTGTGTTGGCCATTCACAGAAATATCTCGTTGTCGCATCCTATATTTAAACTTTTGGCTCCACATACACTATACCTGCTTGCAATCAATGCGTGAGTATAAAAACTACATTCTAAACCTCATTTCGATCTTGTCTTTAGATCGAGATTTTTGCGTATTTCCCATTAGTGCTGATGTGAGGTATGTAATTCGAATGTAATGTCAGTAAAGTGAAGTAGATGTGTGGTGACCCTAGTATGTAATGGGTTCACCTTAAGAGATACCAGAATAGACACACCCGAGCATGAAAGAAGCCATGTGCGGATTCATCATCACCAGGCGCAGATTTTTCCACATTGTTATGCAATTATATATTTGCCTATTTGGGCACTTCGACGTGATATAGTGGCTAACAAACTTGTTTGGCTAGATCAGTTACGATTGAGTATTGAGTTGTCTAGCTGGATTAATTACAACTGAGTACTGAGTTCGATACACACTATGTGTTCCATACTTTCGGTCACGTGTTACACTTAGGAAATCGTTTAGGCTGCGTAGATTTTTTTTTTATTTTGTCTTGGTTCTGAAATGTAGACGTTACGACTTAGAAGTGAAAAATAAATAGTTTTTGGCTAGAGTATTTGTTTTTCCCACGTGTGTTTTGCAACATAAAAAGTACCGCCAAGTCTTTTTCATTCCTTTTTTTAGGAGAGGTCTACAGTTTTTGATATCGGAAGGAGGCTGGGTGGACAATACAATGAATATTGGAACTACCGGTATGTTTGACCTTATCGCTCGTGGGTAAGTCATTAAAATTATACCATAATTGATACAGTTCTAGAATTATATGATAATCTCTCTCTCTTTCTCTTTCTCTCTCTCTCTCTCTCTCTCTCTCTATCTATCTATATATATATATATATTGTTGTATGTTTCATTGAATAATTTAGTTTTGTCTAATTATTTTCAATTGGATCCTTTCATATTCACAGACAAGCTTTTTGGTGCCATTATTAAAAGAAGAGAGATTATCGTGTTTATAATTATTATTTTATGTTGTTTATTTCACGACAAATATTGTAGTGCTCTTCATCATATATATATATATATATATATATATATATATATATATTATAAATTAACTGATTTAAAATACCTTTTCTTCGCTACACAGGAATTACCATGTTTCAAAAAACGAAGCTAAAAACTTCGAATTTAATTATATAATGAAATCAAAAGCATTAGTTCTGTTTCATCTTCAAGCGAATTCTTTTATGTAAAATAAAAATATCAAGAACACCGGATTATACATCTTACTGTTGTTTCTTTTTATGAGAATATATATATATATATATATATATATATATATATATAGAGAGAGAGAGAGAGAGAGAGAGAGAGACAGACAGACATAATGAAGCTCTTGAAAATATATTTCAATTGAGCACTGTTGAGAGATAGTCTTATTCTATAAACAACAGCCGCCTTCGCTAATGCAAAGCTCTTCAGTAAAAGGAATTGGAACACTCTAACTGATTAGCGCCTTGTTTGCATTCGTAAAACAATACGCTAGAATTAGCTGTTTTTCTCTGCCGAGTGATGATGGCTTAGTGGTAGAAACTCTGTCTGACACCAAATTGATCGGGTCCTGGTTTGAGGCATGTCTAGGAGCTGTGATACAGAGGAAGTACTGTCTGCGAATGACATATATATATATGGTTTTTTCGCTACACAGTTCTAACCATGTTTCAAAAATGAAACATGGTTAGAACTGTGTAGCGAAAAAAACGTGTTTTAAACCAATTAATTTATAATATTAATGCTCTGTAAATTTACATTGAGCACTATTTTGTAAAAATAAAAATATCTATAAGAACACCGGATTATATATCTTACTGTTCTTTCTTTTTTATATATATATATATATATATATATATATATATATATATATATATATATATATATATATATGCACATTTCATTGAATACGACAGACAACGTGCTTTGATTTAGTTTATTTATACAATTTCTCATGTGATCTAATATTTTTTTTCAGATGATAAATTATATAAAAATTTTCCGAATGTTCGATAGATTTAACCATTTTCAAGAATGAAATATTTTAACTGTTAAATAAGAAATACTTTGTTGCATGTATGTATTTATATAATGTTTTCATTTTTCATTAATAAGGCTTCCATTATTTTTAGACTTTTTTGCATGTAGATGATGCTATTTGTGTTGTTAACAAGTATGTTACGAATAGTATCCGGTCGGTCTCCATGAATATTTAAATGAGATCTAATTGAGCTATGGTCAGAAAGGCGTAGGGTGAGTCAAATATGTTGTAGTGTGGCCCATATAATTATTTACGAATTTTGATTGATCAGGAACGCTTCCTTAATGGGCATTTAAATTCGTAAATAATATTTGTGTTATTTAATTTTGTTCTAAGAGGTGAATTATTATTTTTAACTATAAGTTTAAAACACACACACACACACACATGTATACATGTGTGTGTTAATTATAATTATAATTAACACACACACACACACAGATTTATAATTATAATTAACACACACGCACACACACATATATATGTGTGTGCATATGTGAAAGTTTATACGAATTCTTGCTGCCTATATATATATCACAACTTCTCTGGATTGGTCATGTTGCAAGGATGATTGACGACAGAATACCTAAGATCCCATTATATACCTAGCTTGATAGTGGACAAAGGAGAGATGGACGGCCCTGGCTCAGGTATAAAGACAAGCTAAAGAGTAACCTCTCAGCTCTTAATGTGTCACATACTAACTTCGAGTGAGTTACCCTGGATAGAAATAACTGGAGATATTTGTGCCAGAGTTGTATCAGAAATCTTGAAATCAGTCATATTGACCGGCTAAGAGACAAAAGACAATGGTGAAAAGCGTCAGCAAATATTCCTGTTGCTATATCTCGGGACTGATGTTTCACATACGACACAACCATAAAAACTGAATGAGGTTGCATGATCCTCATACATCGAAATCGATGGGAGAGTCCACCGTATATATATATATATATATATATATATATATATATATGTGTGTGTGAAAATATATAGAAAATAGGAAGGAACTGGTTAGGTAAATAATCCAAAGTCCCTTAGTATTTTAGTTATTATTTTTTAAAAATAGTGCTCGATACAAAAGTAGAGCATATGCACAAATCCCTTTCATAAAAAAATAAAATAAAAAAATAAATAAATCTCCATAGACATGCAAACTAGACGAGGGTTAATACATCTTCCGTTTCAAATTTAGACACCCCCACCTTTCACTGACTTGACATCTACGAAAGTAACTCTATACTGATACTTATTATTAACACCCAACACTCGCCTACCCAACTTAAACAATTCGCCCTAGCTGTTACCATGGAAATTTTGATTTCAATTTTTAAAACACGTAAATTTCAGAAACACGTTATTCCAAAAAAAATTTCGCTTGAAGATGGAACAGAGCTTATTTTAACTCAATTTAATTTAAATAATTATATTGGAATCATATTTTTAAATAAATAATTATATATATATATATATATATATATATATATATATATATATATAGTTAAGTAACGAAAATCTTGGTAAGTCGTATGGATAATCCCAACGAGGATGAAATCCTGAGAGCTCAATGTTAAGTCAGTGCGAATAATTTAATTTAAAGAAAAACAGACTACTTTAGGCTCCATTAGTTATAATTTATTTCAACAGAGAATTTTATTTTTTTTTTCTGGATCTTCAGACTTCACTTTCAAAGATCCAGGAAAAATTAAATTCTAGTAAAAATAAATTATAACTAATGGAGCCTTAAAGTGGTCTGTTCTTTAAATTTTAAATTATATATATATATATATATATATATATATATATATATATATATATATATACCATAATTTTACTACCTCACTTTACAAAATAAAACAAAAGCAGAAACTCATGTTTACTACAAAAGATACAAAAATAGCTGTTATAAAAAACACGATTTACCAGGCCAAAGTAATCTCTTTTTCGGACATATCATTCTATAAGAAACTTAGCAACATTAAACAAACCCTAATCAACAATAATTTCCATAACCACGTTGTCAGCGCACAAAGAAATTTAGAAAAATGACGCCGGCCTGACCCAAACAAGAATAAACACACCATTAACTTATTCTATCGTAACTAAATGCGCCCTAATTATCAGCCGAATGAAAAAGTAATTAAAAACATATTTCACTGGTACATATCACTCAATGATCCTAACAGACACTTAAGATTTATTATCCATTATAAAAAGTTAAAAACATCTAAATGATCACCAATAACACCAGGCATTATAAATCCCACCCTTATGTAAACATAATTTTTTTCTATAAATTCTCATACCCTTTGAAAGATTGCATTTCCAACAGTAATAATAAAAAAACGACATTAAATACTTATATTGGGTACACATCCCTGCACACATCGACCAAAACATCATGGACGATCAAAATGTAACTATTAAGATAAGACAAATATTAGTTGACAAATTTTTAAAACTCTATAGCACCAGATGCAAGGCAAGACTCAAAACTCTAGAAGGTGTTATTATAAAAAAATAAACAGCTCATATTAAATAAGATACCATTCATCACAGGATATGGTATCTTGAAGTGCATATGATACAATTGATGTGCGCACATATTGGTATTAAAATAACAAATAAATTAATTGATAAAATAATATATATATATATATATATATATATATATATATATATATGTCTGTGTGTGTGTGTGTGTGTGTGAAAATATATAGAAAAATAGGAAAGAACACGTTAGGTAAATAATCCGAAGTTCTTTAGTATTTTCATTTTTATTTTTAAAAAACAGTGCTCAATACAAAAGTAGAGCCTAAATTATATATTGCTTATAAAGATGCGTAAACTTCCAGATTAGTTATTCCAAAAATTTCGCTTGAGAATGAAACAGAAACGCTTGAAACTTTAATTCAATATAATTTTAATAATTATATTGAAGTTTTTAGTTCTTGTTTTTGAAACATGAAAACTCTTATGTAGCGAAGGAATCATATTTTAAAAAAAAACAATTATAATTATAATACATACATACATATATATATATATATATATATATATATGATTTGGGTTGCTACATTTTCGACTGAAACAGTTTGCAGATCCAACATTTGAATATATATTAATAAATATACATTTTTTCGCACGACTCGGAGTTTCATACAACCGAATCGTGCTACCGGTGAGATAAAAATGAATATTTATTAATATATAATTTATAGCTCCGTTATATTACATTGAACACTATTTTCTGAAATTCACCACTTAATGTGCGATAGTATATATATATATATATATACTATTGCATATATATATATATATATATATATATATATATACACTAAAGTTCAGAAGTCTGAAGCCACTCCTGGTAATTTTTAAATTGTTCCAAATAGTAGTTGTTTTATACTTTAAATAAGAGAAAATTATTATATATCGTTAAAACAGTGAGACATCATTTTTTTTATTAGTAATTTTATTATGACAAAAAGAAAAAAAATTATTTTAGGATTAAATTTTGCTCTCGTCAAAATATCCTCCTTTAGCCTTGATTAATGTTGCACAAACTTTTGGCATTCGTTGCAAAAGTTCAAAGTACATTTTGGCATTCGTTCAAGTTACATTTCCTGTCAATGTATAAGTTTAAATTGATTCCATTCTTTTTCAATAATTCTAAGAGCTCGTTTTCATTCTTTTTCACTCTTCTGTCAAGTTCATTCCATGATAATTCTGGGCTTGGCTTCAAACTTTTGAACTGTAGTATATATATATATATATATATATATATATATATATATAATATGATTTGGGTTGCTACATTTTCGACTGACACAATTCCCCAAATTACCCAATGCAATTGTCATAGCTTCGTGTTGATTCGAGAAATTCTTAAATTCGGGAATCAAGTCGAAAAATAAAAAAACAAAAAACATAATTCATGCTTGAAAGTTTGTATTTAAAATGTCTTTTTCTTTCTAGGGTTAAAACTTGGAGTTTTAACGTTCAAGGTACATTTCCAGCTGAACTGAAGGAACGGGGTGTAAGTGAACTATATTTTTTAGTCACCGCTCAACTTTTATCCCTAGACCTCTGTCTCCCATCAATTGTTTTTATATTATACAGATGTCTGGTGGCTATCACTTAGTATCTTTTTACAGATAGCAGCACAAATGAGTTATGGACAATTGTAATTTATCCTCGTGATTCGTATTCATAGAATTATATTTTTTATAGATTATAATTTTTTGCACAATTTCAAGTGCGCTAAATATTATAAGAACGACTGTACATTCATTGTCTATATTTTTCTCGGCTCCCGGGAGAGGTACTGGTATTCGTTTTTTTTTTGTTTTTTTTTTTTGTCTTTCTTTCATCATCATCTAGACAGCATGTTCCTCTCTCGCTAAGAGTGAGTATGTATTGTATTTTGCTTATCGCTCGTTTTGGAACGCGGTTCGGGTCTAAAAACAAATTAAGCTGTTAACTATAGCGCTCTATCCTTAGGGGTCAACTCCTCTTCCTCCTCATAGCGATAAATGCAGCAGGGCTCAGAAATGTCTTGGCCAAGAGATCCAGGTTTTTATACTGAAACTCACACACACACACACACACACACACACACACACACACACACACACACACACACACACACACACACACACACCCGTGCGCGCACAGAGACACGCGCGCACACACAGGCACGCATACATAGACACACACGCACGTATAAACAGACACCCACGCACGTACACCCACATCCCAACACGATCTAACTCATGCGCATATCCCCCAAGTATAAAGACTTCACGTCACTATCAAAATATGTAGATATAGTTTAAACTTCATTAACTTCATTTTGTTTCACGAATGAGTTTAAACTTCTTTAGTTCTTAGGACATTAACGCGTAGCAATAACGTTATTCGATCCGTGAAAACTCCCCCTCCTCCTCAGTGCCATACCTCTGTGGGATACAGAGCCAGTTGTTGCTGCTGTTGTTTCTGTAGCAAGTAGGTCTTTACGCGATGGAGTTGCCGACCCTACAGTCAGCCAGTTTAGATTTAAGTGTTGTCGTTCTCCTAGACCAGAGCCGAATCTGTTCTGTTGTTTAACCCAAAGAGGCGGGAAGAAAAGGTGGATCCATACATTTCTCAAGGGCATTTGGGTGAAAGTGAACGCGATTTAAACTAGACACGTCGAGCCTACCGTCAGCACTGATACCTTTTACGTTACGCCCACATACTGAAAATGACCCTTTTTTTTTAATGATGTGTAAAGAAATGAAAGTAATAAAAATCTTAATAACCCTTTTATGCATTGATTTCCAGGTAGATGATCCAGATGTATTACCGTATTACCCATTCCGAGATGATGCCTTACTTTACTATAATATCATTAAAGACTACGTGTTCAACTATGTAAAAATATATTACGGTAAGTTGTATAATACTTGTCGCCTTATTTTCAATACAAATTTTGAAAGACCTCAAAATCATCGACATTCTATTGATGCGCTAATAAAATCCATTATATAAACATTATAACGGAACATTCGGAAAGTAATTTCACTCATTTATTTCCACGGAAACTACAACAGTTATATGGAGCACAATAGCCCGGCTGGACTGAGCAAGTTTTCAGTTACAAAACAATGTTTTCCCAACCATTGTAGTCACTACCATTGGATATGAATTTTAGCCAGCGATGAACAGAAGCCTTCACGTCGCAGAATCTGCACCAGCACAGGCAACCTGCTTTTTCACGTCAGTGATACTAAAACGCATTAACTGACAATGCTTACATACACTGTCTGATGTCCTTAAACATCTGCTGCATCTGTACTTTGCCAGACATTTGCCAGACTGCCTGTAAGGTGCTATCTGTAACAAGGCAAACAAAATTATTGGTTATTGTGGGGTGAAAGGTTCAACATCTTCACTACTACTAACTATGACTTCCTGAACCAAAATGAATAAAATAGGAAGTATAACTTCCGGAGCCATTCTCATAAATGTAATTACTCTATTTTCTTTAGTAATGGTTGCATTAATAACTGACCCCTGATAGTCTCTACCTACATTGTTCCTAATCTTCTAATCCAGCGATCCCACTTGTTTTAATCCATCACCGAAAGAAATTATGACTCAACTAAAGAGTTATCATTTTATTAATAGTTTCATAATGCTAAAAAAAAAAAAAAAAGAAATTATCAAAAGCGATCTAAAGACGAACCGAATCAGAAAGTTGGAAATCTTTTCTTCAAACGTTTAACAGAAAATCAGAATAAACTGAAACTGAGGAGCAGGACATCTGTTGTATTGCAGTGCTTAGCGAGTTTAATTCGTAGACCAATTCGCTAGTTTAGGTCTGATTCTTTGTTGGACACCCTATCGCTCTGTCCATGTGCCAAACTAACGTAAGTTGCGTGCAACGGTCTGCTAAGATATTTGCGAGAATTTCGTTTTTTTCTGACTAACACCGGTGATAGGCTTTCGAATGCAGGCAAAAGGAATTCGAATGCTGATTTTCAAAGTTAGCAAGCACTCCTCACTTGGAATAAAATCTTCCTACTACCATCACCGACTTCCGCTCTGGTCTCTGGCTGTATTAAGGTCAACTTTGTAAGTACCAATAGGTTGAATTGAATGTTAAAAAGAATTAAATAATTTAATTCATTTAAGTGTGTATTGTAGATAATTCATTAATGTTATTTACATGTTAATTATAAGGTTATAGTGATTAGTCCTACAGTGTATAAATTAACTAAATACGTTTGGTAAAATTAGAAATCGTGTATAAAACAAATTATCATTAAGAATTTGCTTGGTAGCTTTGGTTAAGTTTGTTTTGTTTTATGGCATATCAACCTCAACGGGTTATTTAATACCGACAAGAATCTTTACGAAAGATTCCTATGAATAGAATATATATTCTTTGTAAGGAAACAGTTTGTAGATCTGGTTTCATTGATATACTTTTGTAAAGAGGATTGTTGTCGAGAATCTGGTTTCATTGATGTATTCTTTTCAGATACACGGTTTGAAAAGAAATTGACATTCTCATTTGGTTTATAATTTTTGGGGAGAGTCTTACTGTGTTGAGAAATGATTTTATATCATCCACTTTTACTTTCTCGAACAGATGACACATATTGTTTATATTATAGGAGTTTTGTCTTGAGAGACTAAGATCTGAGCACTCGCTTGATATATGTTTAATAGTATATGCCGTTTTACATGCTTAGCATAATGTTTGATCTTTGTTTAGTAAGTATGAATGGGTAATTCTCGTATGGCCAATGCGTACACGGGCCAGTACCGCTTCTTCCTTACAAGATTTTCTGGGATCTGACTTCCATTCTCCTAGTTTGGGCTGAACTGTGACGAGTTTATTGTGTGGGTTATCATCTCAGTACCGTTGCCATTACTTTTGAAAGTATTTATTAATATCCTCCTTAAATTCTGTATATGGGATTTTGGTCTTTGTATTCAAATTTACATCTAAAGCCAACTTGGTTGCTAGGTCTTCTTTATTATAACCTTTAATTCCGATATGGTTCGGGATCCAGCATGATTTGGTGTCTTGATGCTTGTTAATAGTTCTCATTTTACATAATATCTTTATAATAAATGGGTTGTAGAATTTGTTTCCCTTCAAAGCCAATAGGACAGACAGTGAGTAAGAACAAATTAGAAAGTTTTTTTTTTGCTTTCTCCGAGATAATGTTGAGAGTTAGCTCAATTGCATAAGACTCTGCAGTGAAAATAGAGCTTCCCTTTGGGAGGCACCCTTTTTTGGTAATATTTTGGCTCACTGCTTCACATCCTTATATTTTGGCCCATCTGTATAGATGGGTGTATGGTTAGGGAAGTTTGCCAATATGTCCTGAAACTTATCCTAGAATGTGAGTGGGTGTGTTTTTTGTTTTAGGAGATTATGTATAGTTCTAACAGAATTTCGGGTTGCTTGATAGTCCATAGTGGAATACTGGTTGCACCCGTTTCAGTATATTTGAGAGTGTTGTGTCTGACTCTTCAGCAATGGATTTCATCCAGAGTCCTTAGGGTTGCAAAGCATTATCATTTCTATCGGAATAGATCGCAGTAATTAGGTTCTGCTGTACGTTGGGTTAGTTAAGCATGATTTTATTTTTACATAGTACTATATTGCCAGTTTAGTGTTCCTTGAATGTGAAGGTGTTTCACTAGCTTCTGTGTATAAGCTCTACACTGGGGATGTTCAGAAATCCCCGAGTACTAATCTGAGGCCTTGATGATAAGTTGCATTGAGAATTTTTAGATATTGCTTTCTGACCGTTCCATATATGGAACTAGCGTAACCCAGTTTTGAGCGAAGTAGTGATCTGTATAACTTGATTAATATTAGTCGACCTGCTTCCCATTCAGTATGGGCCACTACACGCAGGACTTGTATGGCTTTGCTATATTTTGTTTTCAAATATTTTAGATGGCGAATGAACTTTAATTCTTTAAAGATAAGGACTAGAAACTCGTGTTGTTCCACTATTGGGGTTTCTTCTCTGTTTAATTTTAAACATGTATCATTGTGCAATTTTCTTAATTTGCAGAAATGTAGACATTTGGTTTTCGTTTTGGAAAATGTCAATTATCAGTGTCCCATTTGTGTATCTTATTGAGACATTGTTGGAGTTGTCTTTCAATGGCATTCATATATCGAGATATGTACATAATTACAAAATCGTCGACATATAGAGAGCATCTCACTCTTGGGCTTAGGGTTTTAACTAAGGAGTTAATTTTGACGTAAAAAAAGCGTCACCGAAAGAGTGCTTCCTTGTGGAACCCTTTCTTCTTGATCTTGCAATTTCGATAGCATACTTTCTATAAGGACTTGAAATTTCTGGTCTTTCAGGAAATTCCCTATGGATTGAATCAGCTTTTCTTTTAGACCTATTTCTTGCAGATCTTTCAAAGACCACTCAAATTTCATGTTGTATCGTACGCCATTTCTAATTAAAATAAAAACTGCCGTGAGATGTTCTTTCATAATGAAGGCTTCCCTTAAAAAGGTTTCGAGGCGTACTAAGTGATTCATGGTACTTCTTTTTTTTCTAAAAGCACATTGGTAGTCACTAATTAAGCCATTAGTTTCAAGGTACCAATTAAACTAGTTGTTGACCATTCTCTCCATAGTTTTACATAGGCAACACGTTAGTGCTATCACCCTGTAGCTTTCAATGTCTGTGTCATCCTTTCCGGGTTTTGGAATAGGGATGATGAATGAACGTCTCCATATATCTGGGAAGTTGCCACCTATTCATATGTTGTTATACAAATTTAGTAACAGTTGTAATGATTTGTTGGACAACTGTTATATGAATTAATAGTGGATATCATCTAAACTTACAACTGTATTGAGAGATTTCTTTAAAGATTCATTTAGTTCCTCTATAGTGAATGGTAGGTTATAGGTCTCAGCGTTATTTGATTTAAAGTTTAATTTTTGTTTTTCCGCTTTTTGTTTAAGCTTCAGAAATTGTTGGCAGCCATTCTTGGCAAATGAGTTTTTTAGAGATTGTTTTGGCGAATTCATCAGTGATATCCTTTCTGCTGGTTATTTTACAGTTATTTATCTAGAGGTGTTTTCTGGCGTTTTCTAGAGTTTTCTTTATCATATCTCATACAGATGTTGTTTTTGTGGTAGAATTAATCTGCTGACATAGTTTTTATTTTTTTATTTTCTTTATTTTCCGTGCTTTTGCTCGAAGTTGCTTAAATTGTAACAAATTAGAGGTTGAAGGCTGTTTGTTGAAATCTCCCAAAGCTCTTCTTCTGAGCCTGACAGCTTCCTTACACTCATCATTGAACCAAGGTCTGTTACGTTTTGTTTTTACTTAACCTTTTTGGAATGTATTCCTTTGCTATAGATATAAGGATTTACTGTTTTAAGTCTTTGATGCATTTACCTTCAGCTAGTTTATCAGAGTTCCAATTCGCCCCGCCTAATTTCCAATGGAGAGGATTTTATCTCTATGTTCTGAATTTTGCAGAGCAATTGGCAAGTGATCACTACTGCATGCGTCCGCCAGAACCTTCAAAGAGAAATCCATATAGATTGATGGATCACATATGGATAGATCTATTGCAGGATAGCCGACAGGAAATGATAAAATAAATAAAAAATAATAATAATATTATGCTCTACTGTTTGTATCGAACACTGTTTTTTTTAAAAAATAAATGCTATATAACTCTGGATTATAAATCTAACTGTTCTTTTTTTATTATATATATATATATATATATATATATATATATATATATATATATATATATATATATATATATCTTGCTTATTCTTTTCTATTTTCATTTCTTCTTCAGATTCTCCAGAAAAACTCGCAAGCGACTGGGAAATCCAGAACTGGGCAGAAGAACTTGCTAGACCAAGAGAAGAAGGTGGCATCGGGATTTTGGTAAGATAGAGAATTTTTATTCAGTTAAATTCAGCTCGTACATACAATGTTTTCAAGAAGCATTTTTAACTGGCTCTCTGAATGACTATAGTCTTTTTGTGTCAAGATCAACACATTCCAAAAGTGGGCTTTTTGAGCGAGGTCATTACACTCTAAAAGGAGTCTTCTTGAGCGAGGATCAACACTCAAAAAGGGGCTCCTAGAGCGAAGACAAACACTGTAAAAAAAAAACAAAAAAAACTGGGTGTTTTGTGCCAAGATCAATACTACTCAAATGTGGGCTAGGATAAATTCTTATGTGAAGGAGCCCAGAATACTATTTATTGGACTCGTTTGTCCTAACCCCAAAATTGCTATTTTAAATACGTTTTTTTTCGGAAGCGATTGAGAATCATTAGATGAACAACTGAAGATTAAATACTCTATGCATGAACGCCTCGCGTTTTGTAATAGTTAACGACCTCGATTATTAATAAGTGCGTTCGATCCTCTCCGGTTGCCTAATATTTCTGGTTTACCTTGAGGCCAACTTGAGCTCGACCATTTTTACCTGTTCTTATCCTTACTTACCATAAATTATTTCTGAACCAAAAAGGAAAACGGACATACTCAAAAGACATTCAACATTATTTCAATACAGTCAACATAAAAGAAATAAACTTCCGTAGAAGAAACTCAAGTTTTTTTTATGTTTCTTCTATCTTATTTGTTTATATAATGAACACGCATCTTCGCCTAAAAGATCCACACAAAATGCACAAGCTTGTTAACATCCGAAATACTCCTTGAATCAGAAAGTTCGAAATCTAGTATTTCCCTCAACTAGTTGGTGAGCAGAAGATCAGAATATATCGAAAACCTGATAACGATAAAGTGACCTGATAGTCAGGACACTTGTTGTAGGGCAGTGTTTTGTGAGCCCATTTCGCAACTTTTAAAAACCGTTTAACTGACTTTAACATCTTAAAAATAAATAAAGATGGATATCTCAATATTATAAAAGCGCTAATTTAAAAATAAGTTTCTATAGAAGCAGTAAAAGCAATTCGATTCCTTATTTCTAGATTTGTCTTATTTACATGATTTGGAAAAACACCTGATGAAGGCCGGGGTTGAGCACAACGATCGAAACGTTGTGATATCAACAACAACAAAAACGAGGAAAATAGTAGTTCCTCAGAAATTCAGATAAAGACTTGATTGGTCGGACACAATGTCACAGTAGATAAGCACTCAGTGAGAATCGAACACACTGGAGGGTGAGATGATTTTACTAGCCCTTTCCCCAGATGAGACGATCCTTCGAAACATATATATTAGCCTGACTCGTAAGTAGTGATTTTCCAAACGTAGCTTAGATGTGGCACCAGGCCGAAAGTAGGGAGCACCTAGTGAGGATGGAACTCACTACTCAGTCGTAATTATTCTAGCGAGACAAGCTTGCTAACCATTACACCGCCTGAGGTGCTCAAAATGATTTTCTAAGCGTAGCTTAGATGTGGCACACGGCCGAAAGTGTGGAGCACCCAGTGAGGATCGAACTCACTATTCAGTCGTAACAGTTTTAGCGAGACAAGCTTGCTAACCATTACACTACGCTGAGGTGCCCAATGATTTTCTAAACATAGCTTAGATGTGGCACAAGGCCGAAAGTGTGGAGCACTCAGTGAGGATCGAACTCACTATTCAATCGTAATTGATCTAGCGAGGCAAACTTGCTAACCATTACACCACGTCGAAGTGCCCAACCTGACTCGTAAGTCTTACACATTTTAGAGAGCTGATTGTAATGAAGAATATTTGTTGTTTTAACAGCATATCTACTCGGTTATTTAATGCTAAAAACATTTTGTTTTAAATGTAGGGCTTTTAAACAGTCCTTTGGGTCATTGGTGCCATCACTTTCCAGTTATATGGAGTTATTTAGTGCAATAATTTGTGGTATAGACCAGACTCCTTCAAGTAGGCTAGGATAGGCTTTACTTTTATCTTCTTGAAAAGGTCTTCTAAACTAGTCTTTTCATAAAATCATTGACATAAGAACAAGGTTACTATAATCGTTTAGTATTACGTTATGTGCCTCCTATGTGCATTTAGAAGCATGTTCGTTTTTTAAGAGAAATGAGTGAGAGATATAGTTGTGTCCTGTTCTGATTCTTGATAGGAATTCTTCATTCCGAGAACGTCTGAGACAATGATGGATTTAATTTTGTACATTTTGTTGTTTGGGTAGTAGTTCCACAACTCTTGGTACTTGGTTAGGATGTATGAGTTTATAGTCGCCTTGAAGTCTGTCTAGATGATTTTTAAATTTGAAATGTTAATTTTTAAGGATTCCTTTGATGTTATGTCATTTCATTTATTATCCGCGGATACCGATATGACTAGGTACCCAAGAGAAGGCAATTTTTTTTTCTTTGCAGATGAGATTGATACTGTTTAACAATTTAACTATTATTTGTGTTTTTGTTTCTCAGCAATGTAAGTGTTGTAGAGTAGTTTTCACAGTAGAGGCTTGTATTTCGCTAAGTCGGTCCTAAAAGGGTCCGACGTGCAAAACATTAGGAACTTGAAATAAGAGTTAATGACGCAGCAATCTAGTTGTGATGGTTGATACTTCAATGTCCGACATCGACTGACTCACTCAACTCCACTGAGCTCAACTGGCGACCGCTACTACTACTACTACTACTACTACTACTACTACTACTACTACTACTACTTATTATGTGTGGGAGAGTCTATTAATAATAGAATAGGTACGTTCAGGTATAACAGTAAGTAGGGATAATAAATCTGAGAAAATTTCATAGTTTTCTCAGATTTATTATCACTAACAGTCTAAATAGGCAATAAACCAGACCGCTATGAAGTTGTCGGGTTTATTGTTTGTTATGATGTCGAATGCTAAATTTGTGGCTATAGCTATAGTATTAAAACAAATAAAATGACGAATGTATCATCCTATCTACTATCATATCACAGTTAAGAATAAATCTGTAGTAGACTAAGATTATCATAGTTTTGAATGGCGGTGGCAGCATACACAGTGGATGAAATGGAAAATATTGTTTTTCTCCCTGGCAATGCAAGGCCGCATACAGCAAGAGTAACACAGGAAAAGATTTTAGAACCCGGTTGGTCTGTTCTATCCAAACCGTCATATCCCCCTGACCTTGTACCAACCAATTATTACCTTTTTCCTAACCTTGAACCAACTAATTATTTATCTTTTTCCTGGCTTTGTACCAACCAATTATTACATTTTTTTCCTGAAACTGCACCAACTATTTATTACCTTTATTCCTGACCTCGTACCAACCAACTATTACCTTATTTCCTGATCTTGCCTTTTTATCACTGAGAAAAAGGTTTGACGGCGAAAACCTTCTATAATTAAAACCAGATTCAAATGTTAATCGAAAACTTTTTCACATCAAAACCTGCAGGATTTTACTCTAAAAGTATCGAAGAGCTGCCTGATATAGTGTTAGAAAGTCACTGCAAATAATGATGAATATATAATTGAATAAAATATATTTGTAATTTATTTATTTAAGACAAAGTTGATAAACGAAAACGTAAATTATTTACGACTTAACATTATACAAGTTACACCCAAGACAACTTGGTAAGAAAATTTATTCACGTGAGCATTTAAAAATACAACCGTAATAACTTAATTTTACCGAGACCACCACGAAAACATGGCTGACGGTCTCAGTGGAAAAGCTCCTTGGGTAATGACGATGTGTGCTGGGAACTATTTTGTCAATTGTTTTTCTAAATTCTTAATGCTAAAACACATCAAGAATTAACAATGACAGACTTGTCAAGCGGACAAAAGGTTAAGCAGTCTTAGACTAAAAACAAATGAATATGTTTTTCCTTTTTCATTAACAGATAAGTAAAAGCTTATCTACTTGTAGACAAAGTTTCTTTGTGAAACACTATATGCAATTTTTATATAAAGATTTAAAATGTCTTGTCTTAGAACTATATATGACTACCGTCGTTTTTTGACAGTATTGTTTTTCATTTAATCCGCATACACTATAATAACAGAAAATCTACTATGTTTCGTCGAGTTTTCTTAAACATGGTCATGTCTTACATGAACGACACGTATACTTAGATAGTATAACCAGAAGGACTCCATAATATCGATGTTGCTTGTAGGCATTAGAGAAGTATTAGTCCTTTTCTTTGGTCATGTAGGACATGAACAACAAATACTTTAATACTATAACCAGAAGGATTCATAAAATGAGATTGATCCTGTTTAATAATTTAACTATTATATGTGTTTTTGTTTCTCAGCAATGTAAGTAGGGATAATAAATCTGAGAAAATTTCATAGTTGTCTCGGATTTATTATCACTAACAATCTAAACAGGCAATAAAGCAGACCGCTATGAAGTTGTCGGGTTCATTGTTTGTTGTGATGTCGAATGCTAAATTTGTGGCTATAGCTACAGCCTTAAAATAAATAGAATGATGAATGTATCATCCTATCTACTATCATGTCACAGTTAAGAATAAATCTGGAGTAGACTAAGATTATCATAGTTTTTATATGGCGGTAGCAGCATACACAGTGGATGAAAGGAAAAATATTGTTTTCCTCCCCGGAAATTTCAGTGTTTAACAAGTATATTTAATATAACCACAAGGACTCCATAATATTGATGGTCATATAGGACATGAACGACAAATATACTTGAATACTATAACCAGAATGATTCCATAACATCGATGTTGACTGTAGGCGTTAGAGATGTATTCATCCTCGTCTCTGAGAGCGGATGGCGAGGCTCTGTTCGTAGAAACGATCACCTGTTCTCAGACGATTTACTTCGTGGATCATTGCAGAGAAAGAGATGAAACCCAAAGGCTTTTGAAAAGATTCGTAGGAATTAATGATTTATATGATTCTTTTTTGTTTGGTTTATTTGGTTTATTTTGTTTTACGGCATATCAACACCTCAATGGGTTATTTAATGCCAACAATATTTTTAGGATAGATTCGTATGAATAGAATATGTATTCTTTGGTTTAGATTGGTTTGGTTTATTTTGTTTTACGGCATATCAACCTCAATGGGTTATTTAATGCCAACAATATTTTTAGGATAGATTCGTATGAATAGAATATGTATTTGGTTTAGATTGGTTTGGTTTATTTTGTTTTACGGCATATCAAACCTCAATGGGTTATTTAATGCCAACAATATTTTTAGGATAGATTCGTATGAATAGAATATGTATTCTTTGGTTTAGATTAGTTTGGTTTATTTTGTTTTACGGCATATCAACCAATGGGTTATTTAATGCCGACAATATTTTTAGGATAGATTCGTATGAATAGAATATGTACTTTGGTTTAGATTAGTTTGGTTTATTTTGTTTACGGCATATCAACCTCAATGGGTTATTTAATGTCGACAACATTTTTTTATTGCTGGTAATATTTTGTTTTGTCAAAATCTGTTTCTGGTAATATTTTCCTTCAAAATTGTATTGTTGGTAATAATTTTTTTTCAAAAAAGGTATTGCTGGTAATATTTAATTATTTGCCCATAGCTGGGACCCTAACAGGTGCTACCACCATTGGCCAGGGTGGACCTAGGAACACCAGCAATTAAGAGGTGGTTCCACGCTCCTCAAAACCTCCTGATCAGAGGCCTTGCTGCTGGATGTCGTTTATCGTCTTACCCAGGACGCGGATGCAGTTTAACGTCTTACCCGGGACAATTCTTTTTTGTACGTGCTGCAATCTCGTCTGACACAAAACTACAATATTGATACACTCGGCAACGGATGATGATCTCTAATGATTTCCACTGAGTCTAGAATAGTTCCCCTAAACTTACCTTAGCCAGTTGCACCAAGTGAATACTAAATTCATTAGCAAAGTATTTTTATCACTTGTATATTATGTAGAATAAGTGTCCGGTGTATATGTGCGACTGGTACAAGATCAAGATACTGGAGTTCTCAGTGGGGATGTGTTGTGGTAGGATTCACCTAATTTGCATAGTGAAGTACCGACCATATAAATATGGTTGGTACCGGGAAGAGAGGGAGGAATCAAGAGATTCAACCAGAGACTCTGCCCGACTGCGACTCAGTCAACACATTCTCCGGGAACGGTCTTACCAGGAATATACAAAAGACTATATGTAAATATTGTGTACACTTTCTTGTTTCAATACATTTTGTTCTAAGTACATTTTGTGTTGCACTATTATTCCATGCATTAGTCAAGTTTCAACAGAATGGAAATCACAATTAAGAATAAGCGTTATTCTATAATCCATCACACTATAGCAGCGTCCATGTACATGCTGGTAAAATATTAAAATAAGTATATTAGTAAAATGAAACTCAGAAATTGAATGTTGTTATATTCTTTTCCTTTAGGGACAACTGTTCCATTCATGCACATGAAACCATTTTATTGTTTTTTCCGTATTTTGACAGGGAATGCCGTTAAAAGATGGTAAGGGTTGTTTCCATAATTTGGATGAGCTGACAATTGTTTTAGCATCTATCGTGTATACGTGCAGTGTTGGACATGCTGCGTCGAACTTTCCTCAGTACGAAGAGTATGGCTTCCCTGCACACTATCCAGCCTACATGAAAGGACCTGTTCCAACTTCAAAAGTACGTATCCAAGAAACTGCTAGACAGTACTTGGCCGACTACAGTAGGACAAAATTACGAACGAACACATGACTTATACGTTGTTTTATTTTTAAATATTTAATTCGCATGTTGCATTTGTGTAAATTTCAATCTCTAACAGCTACATATACATATAATTGATTGACTGGCTTGTTTTTTACGATTTATCAACACATTTTGTGTTATTTAAAAATGAAACATATTTTGGATTGTAAGAATAATTCATTTGGAAATTGTCTTCTTAAATTTGGTCATGTCATGAGCAATAAATATGGCTGGATACTATAACCAGAAGGATTCCATGATATCAATGTTGACTGTAGGCATTAGAGATCTATTGATCCTGTTCTTTGAGATTGGAGATTGAGGTCCGGTCCACAGGAGGGACCCCTTGTAACCAACGAATTACTTCGTGAATCATTGCTAAAAAGTGATTAAATTCTTATTCATTGCTTTTTTTAGACATTTAATTTGCATTTGTTTAAATTTCAATGTCTAACAGCTTTAAAGATATGCACATAACTGATTGACTGGTTTGTTTTTTATGAGTTATCAACACGTTGTGGGTTATTTAAAGATGAAATATATTTTGTATTGTATGAACAATAACGTTTTTGCGAATGAATATTACATTAAAATTATTTTGAGAATAAGAAGGATATTTCTAGATACAAACTCTCCTACTGAACCCGTAGTTGGTGGGGGTGATGGATCCATATCTTTCCCAAGGGTATTTGCATGTGAGTGAATATAACAAAACAAACTGGAATTCAAAAGTGGCTCCATGTTTTCTCATTCCGAGCCACTATTCGTTACACCTCCCGCACATGCTTGTGTATAATTAATAGGTTAGAGATGTATTGTTGAATTTTTCTTACAAGACATCTGTTATCTAGTAAAATGGATACTCAGGCAATGCAACAATACAATAAGCCAGTTAGAAATTTACATTTTAAATTTAAGTCAGGAAGATTATATATTTACATACATCGGGTACCTAAAAAAAAAAAAAAAAATGAAAGCTAAGATTCCTGGTTTATTTTGCGTTCCTTGATGTAATTTAAAAAAAAATATCATCAACCTGGAAAATTTCTTTCTAAGAGTGAAATGGAGGATTTTTTTTTCATTTAGTCATTTAATTATCTATCTATCTATCTATCTATCTATCTATCTATCTATCTAGATAGATAGATAGATAGATAGATAGTGGGTTAAATAGGGGGTTAGATAGATAGATAGATAGATAGATAGATAGATAGATAGATAGATAAGGGGTTCGATAGATAGATAGATGTATTGGTAGTGGCAGAAGGAAATGAAAAGAATTATAGCAATAGAACAATATTTAAATACTGAATGATAAATAGAATGTTATGGACAGAAGTAAAGATTTAAACGGAAACAGATAAATTGAAGTACAAAAAACTAAGGGCATTTAAATACTGTGTAGTTCTTTTCTTGATCTGAATAATGGCGGCTATGTGTGTGTGTTGTGTCTGACTGGAGGAAATTTAGTGAAGTCTGCAAAATATCAGCGATAAGCTCCATAGGGTTTTTCAGTTTTGGGGTGAAGAAAGTGAACCTGTAAGCCAGCAATGTATTCTTGGAGCCCGTGTCGTGACACCTGCGCATGATCGGGTTTAGATAGTGTTTACAAAAGCTTTCATTAATATGTAGATATTTTAATAAATCTTTGAACTTTTTAAATTCACGGACTATTTTTTCTTTTCTTTTTTTATCTTTTTTGATTTGTAGGATATTTTGGTGACAGAAGAAGACATTTTAAAGGTATTACCTGACAGGCAAATTACATTAGATGTCATGACAGTCACAAAAATACTCAGTTCCAAAGGGACCAATTCTTTGGGTGATTTTGAAGTCCAGTACATATTTGATCCAAGAGCCATTCCAGTTGTCAATAAGTAAGCTATTATTATTATTATTGTTGTTGTTGTTGCGAAAAGATTGTCACATGATGTACAATAATTAGTAAAAATATCTAAAAGCGTCATCTAACTTGTGTTAAGCAGGACTTGAACTTTATTTGTTGCAAATGATGGACATTTTTTTTTCCATTCAATTATTGAATTCGTTGGTAGTAAAGCATCTGATGATAGTAAAGTAATATGATTTTTTATAGCAATCTTCCTCTATACGCCATGTTTCTTCAGGGCGTAGCCGATCATGGTTCTTCACAACTTCCTGTCCTTTGTATCTCTTAGCAATGTTTGTCCTTTTGCTATCTCTCCTAATCCCTCTTCTGACAACTATTAACACAAGCTCCATGGATAGGTTATTCGCTGCCTTCCCATGTCACTTTTGTCTTCATTATATTCTGAGAATATCAAAATTTCTAAGCCTTCTTTCCTCATTATGTAACCTAAAATTTGTCTTATTCTGATTCTAAATACAATTGTCCTTTTTGTTTTCTTTTTCCTTAAAACTTCATCGTTACTCACATCTATGGTAGATCTAGAATTTAAGTATATCGTACTATATTTAAAACAAATCTATTAATAGAAAACAACGCTTTTGTTTTCTCATTTATTTTCTTGATAAATTGATAGACACCAATAATAATACATTTACTACCTCCCTATATAAAAAACTAACATAAACACGTGCACTCTCAACTATAGAAGTGAATGTCCTGATTATTACAAAATAGCGATAATACAAAATTTAATAAATCATGCAAAACGAAAAAGGTTTTTTTTAAACTGAATTAAAAAAAAAAACAATTAAGCAAACTCTTATTAATAATGACTTTCCTAATTACATAATTAATGAATAAATTAGACGAACTATTGGAAATATTAATATAAGCCAAAAAGAACATAATACTTCCTCAAATTACCCTACTATATCGTAAATACACTCTAACTCCAAACAAGATGAAAAAAATCATAAAAAATAAGTACTAATATATCCCCAATTATCCTAGTAAAAAATAAAGCTTAATATATACTATACTAAATTTAATACAACCAACTTAATCATCCGCAATAACTCTTCTCCATCAACTAATGTTTTACAAAAACCAACATTCTATAGCAATTTAAATGTCCTTTGGTAGATTGTAGTTCTGGTAAAAAAGTAAATATATATGTTGGTTTCACAACGACAACATTATCTAGAAGGCTTACTATACACATGTCGGATTCAAGTTCTTTTGCACAACATTTAAAAGAACATTTCTGTCCACATTCATGTTTTAGAGAAATATTAATTGGCAATACTAGTGTACTCCACCATGAAAAAAACAACAACAAAAAAAAACAAACAAAAAACTTCAAATTCTTGAAGCGCTCTATGTAAAAAATGAAACCAACAACAATTAAAATTAATTATGAGTATAGCAAGACTTTTTTTAAATGTTTATAAAAGCAATGTTTTGGTTTGCTTGTATTGTACAAAAAGTAAAAAATTGCTGGTTGATTATTTTAAAACAATACATATAATAAATACATATATATACATATATATATATATATATATATATATATATATATATATATATATATATATATATATATATGCACGTTTGTGCATGTGTATCTTTCTATATGTATGTATATGTATATGTGTGTGTGAGGGAGAGAGAAAGAGAGAGTGATAGAGACAGGGAGAGAGAAATTGGATTAGAATCCGATATAGTGATAAATATATAAGAAAAGTTTCGGAATTCTTTATTTTGTCATCTTTTAGAGACAATCGGCTCTTCATACGAATTTTGTCGTCAAAATGTCTTTTTAATAAAAAAAAAATGAATATAATTGTCTTAGACGAAAATCTATCGAAAGTGACATGATCTATGAATTCCTACGATTAATAAACATCCGTTCTATTTCATTTTATCCCCTGTTCTTACTTACTAAACTTATATCGAAATAATGTGAGTCATGTAAACCCTAAAAAATAAAGTAGATCAAATGCTATAAATTCGTTTAAATTAGTTAAAATTCTGAATTCTATAACGGCACATTTTGAAGTACTTATCAAGTATTTAGTCGAGTTTTGTCTTACTTATCAAGACTTTGTTCTTTTTAATTAAAATTATTATTCTGATGACGTCGGTTCATTGGCGGAACATGTCAAAAGTAAAAAACTCATATATCAAAATACGACAGGTGTTCTTATATATATATATATATATATATATATATATATATATATATATATATATATATATTGATACAGAACAATATAAGAAGCTTCTTATTGTTATCATGGATGATGTTATTCAATATTGAGCAGTTGTTACCCCACCCAACACTTTGAATAAAAATTTAATTATAAATTAGCATCTTATTATAATCAAAGTTATAGTCATTTTACGATATACGCCAAGTTTTTTTAAAATTTTATTTGTTTTACAATATTTATAAGTTTTTGCAGTACTAATTTTACCTCTTTTGCATTGACGACACCGGGTTGCTGTGTCTTTGTTATGACAATGGTGAACAGTTTCAAGGTGTTTACTAAGCTGGATTGGGAAAAGACTAATTTTGTAAAAGAACCCAATACGGAATAATAATTGGAAAAAGAAATTTCAAAATGGCATCCGTGATGATTGGCATGTCTAAACTAGATTTGGTCATGGGAATTTGTTTGTAACAATGTATTTAATAACAAAAAAAAAAAAAATGATTTCATAACAATTAATGTAATTTGGCCCATTTTTTATGTCCTTTGATTAATGTTCTCTATCAATTATTGTTATCTGAAAGTTCCCATGTGTTTGTGTGTGGACGATGTGGGACGGGACCTTTGAGATAACAATAATCAGCAGGTCAATTAATTAAACAAAAAGGCATAACAATTGTGTGTGTGTGTATATGTGTGTATATATATATATATATATATATATATATATATATATATATATATATATATATATATTATATTGTGTGGTAACCCGCGTGATTCGGGTTCGAATCTCACCATGGGCGATTTTTTTTAGGAAAATGACTTCTTGATTTTATCGGCCTGTAGAGACGATCCACGCGTGCAGAACAGTTGTAAAGTGTCGGAAAACCACAGTTAGCACCAACCTTGTGAGTTAAATTGGCTACACGGAACTATTTGGGAGCCGTTAATGTTTGAGCTAGTGCGAAGTCGCAAGTCATCGTGCCCGAGGCTTTGAACGTACCGGCTTTGTTGTTGATAACACCAGATAATGCGCCCTCTCCCAGAAACTGTAACTAAGGTGCACTCAACAGAGTTGCAGGATAAAACACAGGTGGGCTCTCTGGATGTTAAAAATACATAGATGTGCCTAAGTAGGGGTCTGCAAATGAGATTGGCTAGCCGCCCTAGCAGACAGGCATACTTGAATACGGGTAGCCAGCCATTATTTTATTATTTATACAGGAATGTTAAAATCCATAAACTAGGTAATAACCTGCGACCTATAAGTTCATGCGCTTATGCATCAATTAACAAAAACTTAAAACCAAGCAACCATACTATATTTAACTACCAAATATAGTATAAGCTCTACTACTCTTCTAGACTCCAACAAACCTCAGGATATAATCTTAGCATCCTTAGATAAAGAAAATTTGATCACTAACGTTCCAGTCCATGAAACAGTTGACATTGTTTAAAATAACATTTATCCCCATTTTTCACTGCTACCCTTGAAAAGTAACCCCATAATATTAAAAAAAGAAACTTTTATTAGCGTCCACAAAGCAAGTTTCTTTCCACGTTCATCTTCATAATATTTATACTCAACTGACGGTGTCGCTATGGGCAGTCCTCTCAGCCCTGTATTTTGAAACATTTATATAGCAAACTTAGAAAGCAAAATATTTAATAAACCCGCCATATATGCCAGATATATTGTTGACATCTTCACTCAAACCAAATCCTTTACTGACATTATAGAACTTAAAAATTAAAATAAAAATCTGTTTTAAAGTTCACTTATGAAGAAAATATCAATAAAAAAAAATCCCATTTCTAGATGTTCTCATTGACTATAAAAGTGATCATTATACCACGTCTATGTATAAAAAGTTTACTAGTTCTAACTCTTGCCTTCTAAACTATAACAGTGAATGCCCGGAAAAATATAAAACTACTACCATTAATAACCTGATCCAAAGAGCTACACTCATTTCCTCATCGAAAATAATTTTCCTAAAAGAATTAAATAACATAAAACAGACACTTATCAATAATGGTTATCCTAATTATTTCATCAACAATTAAATCAAATTTCATTTAAACAACAACAATTTCGTAATAAAACCCACAGTCATAGGCATGATATTGACAATAACATATATCACCAAAATCAAATGCATTAATTATTAAAAATAATATCTCTCAAACTTTCAACCCCTATATAAAACTAATGCTCGGAGAATGTTTTTCTGTAAATAAATAAACACAAAACGACGTATATAGGATATACAACAACCACACTTACGAAGACTCACCTGCTACATATCGGACCAGAGTGCCACCAGGCAACACATTAATATGCAATGTAAGGATCATAGTAACAATTGACAGCTATTCATAAACAGTACCAGGATACTAGCAAAATCAAATAGTAAAAAGAGACTAATTATCCTTGAAGCAATACTCATATATTAAAAACAACTATCAATAAATAAATAAGAATTAAGAGCCCATATTTTCAAATGTTGTCACACATGAAATGAAACATTTTTTGGTTGGTTTTTGATCCAGTCGTCTAACGAAGTAACCTCCTTAGTATAAAAAAATCTGGATTTATTCCTGACTTTTTTTCTTTCCAGATAATTTTTTTCACTATTGTTTACTCATAATCCCAATGAAAATGATTACAATGAAACAATATCAAGTAATATTACTGTAAGAGTACAAACTGGGAAAAAGACCAATTTTGCATCGAATCATTACATACAGTGAGAAATGGATATTCGTT